CGCCGCCCCCGCGCCCCCACCCCGCCGCCGGGGGGGGGGGGGGGGGAATGCCCTCCATACCTTCCCCAGGGGTCTGTGTAGCAGCGAGGAGCCACCCTCTTCCCATCTCCCTGTTCCTCCTGCTCCCAGCCTTGGGAAGTGCCTGCCTGGCTGGGCAGTGCCTGCCCCTGCCCCAGTCCCTCTTACAGTGGGGGCCTCAATCTGGCCCCCCATGTCCCTTCCTCACAGCTTGCTCTCCAAGCTGCCCAGCTGCATTCCAGGCCGCGCACATGCTGCAGCTGCAAACATGCATGAAGCATTTATCGGTGACATTATCGGCTACACCAGCCAAAAAAAGTCAATGGCCGATGATATTAATTTTCCTTTTGTTAGTGCCAATCCACTTTGCCCCAATATATCAGTGAACCTCTAATAATAAATAGAAATTACTGTTTTTTTTTCTGTTGTATAGATGATAATGATGCACACATTTGGTCTGTTATACTAGAAATATTAGAAAGCATAATCTCTTATGTCTCCTGTATTCTGGTGTGTTTATTTTAAAGCACTGGTTCCATCCACTTCAGCAATTTAGGCTAGGGACAGAAATGACACATAAACCAGTGTAAGTGATTAGAAACCAGTTCAAATCTGTAACACAACATAATTTCAGTGCACATAAACCACTTCCAAAATGGCTGAAACTGGTTTATGATAAACCAGAATGGATGTAGTATAAGACTTACCTGATTTAGGTTAAATGGGTTTATGGAAGTTCTGTCACAGTTCCTCTCCAGATTCAAGTTAACTCACAGTTCCCCAGCATCTCTCCTGCAGCCCTTCCCACCCCCCCACTCCTTGCAGGGAGGGCAGGCTAGCCTTGGCCCAAGCCTTCTGCTCCAGCCAAGCAGGGAGGTGTGCTCTCTTCTGGCTTCAGCCGGTGAAGACATGTGACTGCATTGCCAGAATCAAAAGTGAATGTCTATTCATTTACTTATTGGTTCAGTCTATGCAGCTTGGACTAACCTGTGAAAATTGAATCGATTCACCCTCAGGCTTTTTGACCATCTGTACTTAGCCTTAATGAGACTGAACAAAGAAAATAAAGCCTATGTAACCTACTCCATTCCCTTGTTCACAGCACTGTAATCTTCCATGTGTTACACAAAACTAAATGCATGTATAATTAACTGAACATGCAACTTTGTATTACCTCGCTGACCAAAAGTATGAACATTCATGACATCACTGGTACCATTTTTCTAATAAAAAATACATGTCAACCCAAAATTCACAATAAAAATGAATATGTAGTTAGTTGACTATATGTGCCTAAGCATTTTGGTTTCACAATCCCAGTTACATTTTTATTATAAAAGTCATACTTGGAAAAAAAAATCTTCAAAACAGCCAGCAGAACTAATGATCTGGGGAATTGTCCAAGGATATTACTTACAGCACTATAAATTTGACTTGTAATATCAATTAAATAATCATCATGTAAGGAGATTTAATTAATTTGATAAGGAAAAAAATATATTGTGTAAATTGTGGTTGCATATATGAATAAAATTAGTCTCTAAAGTGGTTAATGTGAACTATTTTCATGATGGTGTTGTTCTAGCCATTTCCCCTCCTGAAACTCAAAGTGCTTCACTGTAATATTGTTATTAATACGTACTACTAAAAATCAAACCGAATTATATTTTTTGCTCTTCCTAGGTTAATGAACAGCCAAAACAAGAAAAATCCAGGACGATTATTAATGTTCACACATTACATAATCCTACAATCTGAAGTAAAATGTTCTAAGAGCATTCCACAAAGTAGATAGTAATTATTCTAGGTATGCTAACTATACTCTTACCTTTGCTTGCACTCTCAACATGTTCCAATTCATCTGGGAATTTTAAGATATCCCGATAATTCTCTTCACATATTTCTGCCAGAAAATGCAACAGTGTTGTTTTTTGATCTGATGATTTGGTATCTCTAATCTGTAAACAGAAGGATGGGAAAGAAATAATTGGGGTGGGGGGGAGGGAAGGCATTAATTAGTTTTTTTCAACTATTTTCTTATATCCACCATCAGATTTATTTTACTTAACTCCATTTATAAATACTTGGCAGCCATCAATCTTCTGGATCACACTGTACATGCAAGAGGTCTATGTGACCATCTCATCAAGACCTAGATCGCATATGCCTAGGCAAGAGAACGGATGAGTGGAGCTGTTCTACCATCCCCCCTTTACAACATCAAGACACATTCCAAAGGCCAGACCAAATCCAGCTGTTCAATGCCTCAATAGTTGTAACTTCTGCCAAAGAGCAATAAGTTAGAGCTGGTGCTGACTGCCTAACACCTCTGCAAGGGCTCCTTTATCAGGGTATGTCTGTTAGCCTTTCTCCAATCAAGGAGTACCCACAAAGTAGTGAGGGTGAGGGTTTTGAGGCACCCTATATACTTGCCTTACTCTTGAGATTGCAACATTTTGGTATTCTATAGGGGATACCCTGCCAGAAGTAGCCCCACCACATTGTCTCATACCCCCCATAGTAATCCTTCAAAGTATGCTTTTTATATATATTTTAAAAATATATGAACATGCGTGTGTGTGTGTGTGTGTGTGTGTACATGAAAACACACACACACAAACACCATTTTTTAATCTTAATTATTTTATGTAAAGTAATCTCTGCTCTCTGTTCCTGGACATACAATTTTTGTTCTTAGGATAAGTTATGGATCCTTCTTACCAGTGTAAATCAATTGCACATTTAAGCAACAGCCAAAAAAAAGGTAGAACTTAATTACTGCTTCACAGTCTGTTTGGATAGACTTTAGGGGAAAAAAAGGTTTAACTCAAGAATTAAATGACTTGATCAGCTCTGCAAAAGGAGAAGCATAACAGATACAAACTGGCTGCCTAGAAGAGCTTCTTTACACCTGTATATGCATAATTAAAAAGAGCATGTATGTGTGTGTGTGTATGTTAGTTTTGGCACAAGTACAGGATATTGTGACTGATGATTCATACAAATACTAAGGATGCATGCATATATTAGATGGACAATATTTTGGAGACACAGGTCTTAAGACTTATGCAGAGGTAAGTAGTACTATGACAGCTGTAAAACGTTTCTAATGCACCTTTACTTCTACCACTATATCTAAAATAACTCATATATGCCTATGCCTCAAAATATACTACAAATAAAATGCAGGATTTATTTACAACAACACAAATATGTCCATAAAGATCTCCCATTTGCTTTGTCATTTTGTAAATCACTGGAAGTTCTAATTCTATAATCCTCATGTGACAGTCTTGCCCATGGATGTTCATTTTAATGTAGGCCTTTCAGCTTTGAGGATTTACCCTGTTAAGAATAAATGAATACACTCCATAAACAGGCTCTAAAATATATGATCTTTAGGCAATTAAGGAGCAATTTAACTCATATTGATTTGGATTATTAAAAGAAAAAAAATGTTCAGTAATGGCACACAGGAATGCATTACTACAGTAATCTTTAGAGAAGCTTTTTTCCAACTTAAAAAATAAAATCAGTCGCTAAAGTACTGAACTCTAAAAAGGAAAGTTAGTTTTATTTCCTCTTTAAAAGCCTTAAACATGAACAGAAAGACTAAAAAAAAGGGCATGTTGTAATATCACAGAATAGGTAAAACTGAAGTAACTCAGGCAAAATCCATTTCCATTGAGACAGCACAGCTGACTGTAGCAGTAAAAAAAATAAATACTTAAAATCAATTTTAGTATTTTGTCTATTTGAATGTCTTTGGCACAAATTCTGAACAATACAATGTCAAAACTCTGATTAACTCAATTCTATAAAATGCTACTAACGTAACATACAAGTATTGTCAATGGTAGCAAAAAACAGGAATTCTACAACGGTGCAATCTACAAGGATAATCCCACTGCTCAAATAGAACTGGTAGAATATTTGAGTCCATCAAAGATCTTTGCCCTTTTGCAGTGTAGCTCACTAGATTATCGGTTTATGTAGTGCATTTTCTTTTTGGGTATTTTAAACTATCCAGAGGAATAAATTAAAGCATCAAACAAATATTTTATTAGGTTCCCCCCACTTATAACTTTAATATCTAAAGTTACATGACACACAAAGCAGGCTGAACGCACAGCTCTGTATACTAGCACTAAAGCCTTTACTTGGGCAAAAATCCAACAGGAACAAATCCCAATGGACTCTAAAGATGTAAGTACCACAATACGTATATTTAGCCTCTCTCTCTACTATGTTCAGGATTATGTTTCTGTATTCTGAAGACAGGTCCGTACAACAGATGAACTTTTTACCAAAACAGGCAAACTGGAACAAGAACAGCAAATCTCACACTGAGTGTTTTTAAACCAGGCTTGTCCAACATGTGACCCGCAGGCTGCCATGCGGCCTGCCAAGGCATTTTCCGTGGCCCGTGGTGCTGCAACGGGAAATGAAAATAAACACGGTTTACTTTCATTCCCACCCGTTGTCCCTCCTCCCAGCCCCTCAGCAGCTTCCTAATGGCTGCTGAAGTGCTAGGGAAGGGACAAGGTTCCCACACACACCGTATCAGATTGACATTACCGACGCAGTGCATGTGGGAAGAGGAGTAGCCATGTGTCTCTTGAGACAGGATGAGCCCAACCACAGCAGTAGGGGGCTCAGCTGCACTTTCCCCCTACCTGCACTGGTCAGTCCCGAGTGGCACACGGCTCTGCCACCGCCTGTGCTGACTGGTGCTGACCCGGGCGGGTCTGTCTCATTCAAAGCAGCATGCAGCTGAAGCCGGCTGCCCACGTGCTGCTGAGGACACGAGGAGGCCA